ACAATCATCAATAAAGAGTGCAAAATATCGAGTTTCACTCAATGATGATGTTCTCATAGGACCACAGAGGCCAGTGTGTACCAGCTGCAATTTTTGAGTTGCTCTCCAAACTCCATTAGTATGAAATGCTTCCCTATGCATCTTTCCATAACTATAGGCTTCACAAACTCCTCATGGCTCTCGAATTGCAGGAAGGTCACTTACTAAGCCTTGAGTATGAAGATTAGATAAGGACTTAAAATTATGATGACCATATCTTTTATGCCATAAATCTGATTCATTAAGTTTAACTTCAGCAGCATTTGCAATCACATTTTGCCAATATATACTAAAACTCTTATTTCTCATTGGCACACAAGCTATTTCAGCATTATTTAAATCATTTATCATGCATAAATGATCTTTAAAAATCAATGAATATCCATGTTGAACCATTTGTCCAACACTTAGCAAGTTTGAGCTTAAGCCAGGTACAAGTAACACATTATCAATGTACATCAGTCCCTTCTTTGTTTGGGCTGCAATGGTTCCAATTCCTTTTGCAGATACTATTTCACCATTTCCCATCTTGATTGATGCTTTACAGCCGGAATTCAGGTTGCAGAAAATCTCTTCTTTCCTGGTCATATGATTGGTGCAGGCACTATCAATGAACCAAGAGTCTTCCTCCTTCTCATTTTTCATGTGAAACGCCAAGAATAAATGATCTTTAGCCTTCTTCTCAGAAGCCAGAGTAGCTTGCTAATTCTGATGTCTGTGCTGATGATGAGTTGAATAATTATTTTGGCGATTTTCATGACAATACTTTTCAGGATGTCCAAGCTTATTGCATAGTTTACACTTATATGTTTTCCAACAATACTTCTCCAGGTGATTTGTTTTGCCACAAATGCCACGTTGAGGATGTGAGTCTCGATCTTTACTCATCCCCTGTTTGCTGCTACTTCTTTCTCTCCTTTTCCTTGAATCAACATGCCTTCTATCAACACTTTTCTTGGGATATTGCTGTCTATGCTTGGCTGCAAATGCTCATTCTACTAGCTTTTCATTCATGGATGCCAACCTTTGTTCAAAGGCCAATAAGGCACCTGCAAGCTCAGCAAGGTGAGGCTTGATGGGTTTTTAGTATGCTCAATGGTTGT